ACTCCCCCTCAAGACTTGATCCGAAGTTTGCGTACGTGTTCTTCGGCTTACGTAGTGTGAGGTCGATTCGAGACGGTCCTTTCTCTTCGAGACAGCGCTTCCGTCTGTCTCTCTTCCCTCGCTCGGGCAGCTGGATCCGAATGCAAATAGGCTTACCTCGGCGCGTTGTCCCGCGCGGGGATGCGACCGACAGAAGCGGCTCAAGAAAAAAAAGAGCTGGTTTGTTGGACGGCCGTCACTCAAAGAGTACTGCTGAAGAGGATCGGGAGGAAAAATGCTAAGAGAAAAGGAACCTGGAGGAGGTCGGTCACTCACTTGGCCTCAGGGGGAGGATGAGGGGTTGTGACTATAGCAAGGAGACGAGAGAAAAAAAAGAAGGACAAACGCCGCAACTTCTTAGTTCTCTTCCCGGATTTGAATTCGCCGGCGGCGAGTTTGACCCTGCACCGAGCAACGCGGTGATGGGCATCCTGCAAGTTAGCTCGATCTTGCCCTTCCTCTAGGCTTCCTCTCCGGCCACGTTTATCCACGGGAGATGGTGCAGGACGGTGCAGTCCTGGTGGCCTTGTTAGCCTGATGGTGTCAGCGCATGAAGGGGGTGGCTGTGCAGCACTTGACTCGCTCTCTCCGAGTAGCCAGGGGCCAGGGTTCGGACGCTGGTCCCCACTCCCAGCTAGGATAGACAATTGAATTGGCTCTCGCTTGTTCGTGCTCCGACCGAAACTGACCAAGCAACGTAGGCGACCACGCTCTGAGAGGAGCGGCTGCGTTCGACACTGCCGCTGCCCAGGGCCATAGTGTTATTGATTGGTTAAGATCGAATTTTGGCCTTTTTTCACAACACGGACCGACACTCGTTCTTGCCCTTGGTGTCTGCCCCCCAACCCCCCCCCCCCCTCCTCTCCCATGTCCCTGATTCCCCCTTTCGCGGCCATCCTTGGAGACTCGCGCGCCGAGACAGCATTGTCGGGGGAGGGGGAGGGGGAAGAGGTGGGGGGGAGGGAGCAGGCAGGCAGGCCCGTCTAGGAACAAGCGGCTCCTTTGCTTTCGCATCTCCGACGAAGAAGCAAAGAGGTAGAGAGAGTCCCGAGGCGGGAAGGACTCAGAATGAAGGTGCGTCGCCGACCTCGTCGTCGTCGTCGTCGTCGTCGTCTACTAGTAGTAGTCCAGCGGCCAAAGATCAGTAGAGGCAGAAAAGAAAAGCCCCGGGCCATGTGCCGCCGACGAGCGCCTACCGCTACGGCGGGGAAACGCACGAACCTACCGACTAGCCAAGCGAGCGAGCCAGCGACCTACGAAAGATCAACGGACAGACGACCCCGCTTAGAGATCCGTTTTGCACAAATGCCGGCAATTTGTTGGTGTCAGGAGACAGCGAACCGGTCACCGGTACCGAAGGGGAATATACGAGCGAGCTGGCGAACGTGGCCAACGTCGACCAAAGAACGGAAGGAGAGACGCTCGAGTTCAGGGGCTACTACGGGAAGTAGACGAGGCATCCCACCCCCCTGGCAACTGTCAGTCGAGGATCAGACCACCACCGGGACGACGACAACGACAACAACACCTCGACCAGCATCGACGAGGTAACCACCTTCGCATCGAGTAGGCAGGCGAGCGGGCGACGAAAGAATCAGAGGAGTCTTGCCATCTACTACCTTCACCCAGAAAAACGACGACCCACTGACCAGGCGAAGCAATCCCATCGGAGAGCTCGGGGATTCAAAGTTATCCCTTAGTTTCTCCTTTGCCTGGCCGTCACTTGCTTATTTATCCTTGGCTCGCGAGAACGAATCGCGTAGCGAGCCCGCCATCGCTTTCGTTGAGGTTCGAGTGGAAGTGGCCGAAGCCGGGGAAAGAAATTCGAGCGTCTCGCCTGAGTCCCAGAGAGTCATTCGATGATTTCACTGAAAGTGACTCGGAATGAACCCGCAGCTCCGAGGTGGATCCGGACCTACTCGATACAAATCCCGAGTAGCCAGTCGCGGGGAGCTACACCATCGATGCGGGAGTTTCTAGAGAACAACCTTCCGATTACCTGAAACGATTCGACGATACAGAGCCAACAAATTGGGAGAAAATCTTTTGTTGTCGTTGCCGCGCCGTCCGAGTTGGAGGGCAATGCGGAAATAGAAGCAGCAGAGGTTTTGCGCCAAACGAGAACTCAACGAGGAAAGAAAAACGGGATCGGAGCGGCAAATAGAGGACTCCGAGACTTAGTCGGGAGGGGAGACACGGCACGGACAGTTAGATCTTCACGCAGGCGGCACAAATGGCCGACCGAGCAGCCAGCTGGCCGGCGGGCGTGCAGGCTGACCGGGCAGACAAACGGAAAAGACAAAGGAGGGAAAGCGGAAGATGAAAGAGAGTACACATGCACTCTGCTCCGTTGATGTTTGATGTGAAACGAGTTCACTGAGCCGGCATGCGCGAACTAGTCGTATGGAGCTCCTTGCTGTGATCGCTGTGCGCGGAACATCGGTGACACCGACTGGAATCCGTTGATTGTTGTTGCTGCTCGTGAACCGACACGGAGACGAATCGATTCCAGACTTAGTCGATTCGACTCGTTCATTTCAGTCGGAGGATCCAGATGAGTTTGAAGCTTCGGCGACGGATTCAAAACTCCGATTCACCTTCTTCCCGCCTCTCTCTCGCGCTCCAGGCCGAGAAACGACAGATCGGACCGGAGGACGAGAGCGAGCTCACTCAGAAAAAAAAGTATGGGTTGGGTAGCTGTTTTGGAGGAAAAAAACACATGGCCGAGCACAGAGGTCGCGACAACCCCTTAACAATTGAATGCTGGATGTTTGTATTTTTATTTATCGAATCGACAAAGGCGACATATGCTGGAAGCTGTAATCGAGTTAGCGCTACTTTCTCGTCCGGCTAAAATGCGCTCGAGATAGCCCGACAACAGTGCTGAAGCCGTGCTCCGAACAACAGCATTTGCACCAAAGAGAAGGTGGAGGTGGGGGCGGAAGAACTTCTTCTCGAATGTATGATTCATACCGATACCGACCCCAGAGTCGCTTGCGATTTTCTCGCTCTCAGGGAACGGTGCGAGGACGACAGGTTAATTTGGAAATACATCTCAGGCATAGATGCGGTGAACTCCAGCGTTCTCCCGCGGAATCCGGAGCTTCATGGTTCTGATTCATTCTCGATCCTATCATCGATCGATGTCAAGAAAGCGATTCCGGATATGTACATGAGTTCAACTCCGCAGAGCAGCTCGAACCGAGGTTCTGAAGGATGTTCCGCGCGAATCGGCGGCAACTGGGTCAAGTCGCTCAAGTGCGGCCCGAGCGGGGGAATTATTGTAGACGAGTTGTGGGCGGTTGTTGCGATGCCGACGGCATCATCCCTCCCTGCTACGATGATGACTGACTGACTGTCTGTCCTCTCGTCCGGAGAGGGTGAGAATCTTCTGTTGCTGTTATCGTCGTGTACTTCTTCTTCATTTTTGATCTGTATGTGTCGTACCGGCCTCAAACTTCCTCTCAATGTGAGCTTCTTCGCTTTTTTAGTCACTCTCTCGCTCGCCCGCTCGCGATTCCTCATTCAGCCTCTCCTCTGATCCTCCAGCCACCCACGCAAACATTCACCCGGCCTTCGCTCACACGAATGGATGAAAAGTTAAAAATCAATGGAAGCCTTCGAAATCAACCGCACACAATCCAATCGAGGCGGGGGACGCTCGAGGATTGACCTAGAATCCAGACTCCGAATCCTTTGGTGCTTATCCGGCTAGTTCGGCGAGACGAATCATTCATCGATTGAATTGCAATGCGAGCTCTCGTCCCGAACGATGGATTTCGAGGAGTAATCGTCGCGGACTTTTGAACCCATCCCGATCGGGAGATCATTCGGAGCAGCGAGCGAGAGAGAGAGAGAGCGACCAATCATTCACCGGATCGCGCTCCAAATCGAGGAAGCGAAAAATCGAGGCTATGCCCGCGGTCTCGTCGGATCGTCTTCGAAGATTCGGAGTGGTCAGGCTTGCCTCGATTTCTTTTCCTTCTTCTGAAGTCCCGATCGGAAGAATCGGCGAGGGAATGCTTTCCGGAGATCGGCGCTGTGAACATAGTCGTAGACAAGAGCGCAGAATTCCTATAGCGACGGTGAGCAGAGAAAAGCTCTTTGCGCGCAGTCGACGCCGTAAAGTTCCGTCGCGCTCAGGAGGCGAATCAGAGACGACGTACATGTTCGGAGCTTTCGGGCGATTTGAGCGAGTGCAGATTCTCGCGAAATGTTTCGTGTTATTCGCATTTGTTGTCGATTGCAAAGAAAGTGCCGGCAGTGTAGAAGTGGCTAAAATTCAGAGAAATGCATCGAATATGTCACCCCCACCACCAACGCCATTCCCGCGAGCTATCCGAAGACTCTCAGAGCGGAGCGAGCGACTTCTATCGAACCAAGGGCCGACCGATCGAGATGGACCGACAGACATACAAGCGAGCAGACGAGGCAAGGCAGGATAAAGCAAGGCAAGGAGGTCTACACGCCCTACCCCCTTTGACCTCTTTGGTTCTTCGTGTGCACCCCAATCTCTTTCAATTCACCGATGGAAAGGGAGAACGGGACGAAGACAACAACGACAACCAACACTCCGATAGGATAAAGACGGGTGAAGCCGAACGCGGATCATTCGAACACAATGGGAAAGATGGTTCGATAAGATCGCTCTGGATCCTTGTCGCTTAGTTCTTGTCCATTCCTCATCTGGACCTCCTTCGCGAAATAATTAGAAACCTGACCAGGGACCGTCATCCCATCGACTTGCGTTATAGAAATTCGCATCGTGAATTTCTTGTTGCCGAGATAGAGACCAGAGACCCAGTTGCCTTGGAACTTTGGCCACGATGATCGTTGTGGGAGGGATTCGCGTCAGAGCCCCGATCTCCACGTTACCTGCCGTCCTTACCGTTTCGGGAAAAGTCGGGATGTACCTTGGAAGCATCCCTCCGTGAATTAACGTTCTGACCTTTCCGTTCCAGGTAAGGGAGAAATTATGTCTCTGAAGTACTTCGCTCTGGTCACAGGTATCGACAAGTCCCTTCTCCAGCGTGTACCCGCTGAGAGAATCAAAAATCCCGCGCTCATGATATTTCCCCCTGACCGTCCAGTGGTCGATCCACGGACGATATGGGAGACCATTCACCAGCCTAGTCAAGACGTATTGATGTCCCGTAATCATTGATGATAATCTGACGAGTCGATGATTCTGCTGAATCCGAATAGAATTAATGGGACATTCCGTCGAGACAGGTCAAGCCTTAATGAGTCACGGAGGAAGGTGACTACGGCCTCCCTCGGCTGCGAATACAGAAATCGCGATTCGATCCTCGCGTGAATCCGCGAGAAATCGATCGATATCGATGTAGTCCGTCCTCTTGAGAAGTTCGTTTTCCACCGGCCCTGAGCTTGTCCCTTGTCTTCCTCTCGACATTCCGTGTTTCCGTTCTTGTAATACTTGTCGATTCCCATGTCTCGGCCCTGACAAACGAGCTGCAGAATGTTTCGCTTTCGCCGAGCGAGAGTGTCAGCGGCGGACAGTCGACACTTTGAGCTTTTTTCGATCCGTTCAAATTTCGGTTCCGACCAACGGGGAAGACCAGGGAAAATACGCAGAAGAATTCAAGAATGACGGCGGCCGTTTTTCCGCATTCCGAAGAGTCCCATGGGATCCGGGAAACGGGCCTGTCGCACGCTCGCAGGCCCGTAGGCGGAATCAGCGGACGCCTGTGTGATATTCTCACGTCGTGGGTTGCTTCGCTGGTCCAAGGAGCGTTGAAAGCACGTCTTCGTCGCTCCGTGCCTTCGGTCGGTCACCACTTGGTCATCAGCCAGCCAGTTCGCTTGCTTATCGCCTCTAAGGCGAGCCTGGCCGCCGCCGCCGCCGCCGCTGTTGCCGTCGTCGTCGTACTAGTGGTAGCGGCGGTCCCTCAACGCGTTCCCTCTGCATCCGCGGTGTCTCTCACGCTGTTCGGTCGCTAAAAGCGTATAAATTCGATGCTTCGTGGACCAATAAATAACCTACGGAGCTCGTAGCCGACACACTCTTGGCTACTCTCTCGGCCAGTCCAGCGGCGTCAAGCAGCAGACCCGGAAGGGTCGCCAGCGTGGCGCGCTCTCTAGAAAGTACTCCGCTAATGCAAGTTTCGCGGTCTGTTCCGCGAGCTGCAAGACCCCCTCGTCTCCTTTGCGACTATCGTCCCGACCGCTCCGGTACCACGACCTCGATCGAGGAGTCGTGGCACCGATGTGGGTCCGCCAGGAGGAATCTTCTGCTCGAACCTGACCGACCGATCCTGCATCTCGAATATCCTGTGGGGACTTTGCCATCAGCTGCGAACGTTTTTCTTGGGTACAGATTATTCCCGGAAAAAGAGCTGGTGCACGAGCTCTTCTGTCTCCGATCTCAAACGAGCCCATTGCCCCAGAGCAAGAAGCGCTTTTGCTCCGAACATGCAGCAATCGAACGGTGGTGACTTTTACGAAAACCGCTGAACTTGTATCTTTGCTCCCTGTGTAAGCCTGCCGGGGTTCATTAGTTGATTTGGCTGCTGCAGTTTTCAGCAGACCATCCTATTGGGACACCGCGGCGAAGGGGTTCGGCAAGCATCGGGAAAAAAACTCGGGGAAAAAGAGGTCTTGTTTTGCCTCGAGGGTCGACCCGTGCACTCGTCTGTCATTTAGTGGATCGGATCTTGAAGCAGCCCCGCAGGACGGACCGCAGTTTATCCGATCGATGTCATCCAACGAGCCCGCTAGCCAGTCAACTATCCTCTGCCATCCGACCACCTAAGCAGCAGGGCAGCAGGCGGGCAACTCAGCTACGCCGCCAGAGGTGGGAATCGACCGACAGCTAAAAATGTGAAGCTCGTGCCGCAGCGCCCCCTTCAGCCTCTCCTCACTGAATCTCCGTCGCTGGAACTGCTTTAGCGGGACTAAGAGCGGCGGCGGCGTCGACGACCGCCAAAGAATAAAAAACGCCTCGGGATAATTAGCGGTTTTTTATGTTTCTTCCTCTCCCGCGGCCCCGTGGCCCCTTCCTTCCGATGCTGCTTCTCGAATCTCTGCGCGTGATGTCCCCAGGTTCCGCTCCTTTTCGATGCCATGCCGAGCGGGCTGCTATTGGAAGCTGCTACAGATAGGCTGCCGGATGTTTCAATTGAGCCGGGCGATAGAAAAGGGGCTCTCTTTCATTTCTTTGCTCCATCAAATTGGTTTTTGTCCCGCCGGACTATTCACGGCATGCCGTCGTGGAACTCGACCGCGATGTTTCATGAAGCTCCGACTTTTCAACGAATTATTGAAATCTAATTTCCAATTAGACCATTGCGATTCGTTCGACGAGAACCCGAGCCGGAGTTCCCGTTGACGGCGCGCAAATCGGACGGTCGGAGTCGCGGGAGGGACCTCGAGAATGAATTATGCTCTCGTAATAATCTCGTCGGGCCGCGGGAACTCTCGTGGTCCGGTCTCGTGGGCTCCTTCGGAGATCCTCAGCGAGATGTGCTCGATTTGTCCCTGCGGATTACAATGAAGGCAAGCGTAAATAATTACAGGCAGGAAGTTCAAGATGGCTCAGGAACGAAAAAACTCGGAGCGTCTCGAACGAGCTGCACAAATTAGAAAAATTTCGGCCTTTGTCTCACGTGATGCCTCGCACAAAGCCCATCATTAGTCTCCTCCCTCGTACGCACGCACCCTTTCGTCCCAGTCGCGCGTTCTCCCGCCTCCGTCCCGCCAATGAATATCAAACATTTTTACAAGTCACTCTCACGGGCCCTCGTTCTCTCTCCATGCGGATTCTGCTCCGCCCCGGGCTTCGCGGCCGTCGACGCCGCTACCGTCGCTCGACGTGGAAAGAAATCGCGCTCGGAGAGAGGTCGACGGAAACCGAATAGCGTCCCTCGAACACGCCAGCAGAGCTTCCCCGGACGTCGGCCGCTCCTGGTGGGAGAGCGGTAGAGGGAGAGTGAAAGTTCGACGTATTCGACCGTACGGGGGCGCCTGCTCGCGATTTACGGAGATGACGGCGGCCGGCCGGTCGGTCGGTCCGCCGACGAGAAAGGCGGAGCGGAGCGGAAACTCTCCCGCACGGGAGGCGGTGCCCCGCGAGCCAGCAGGCGGGCTCTGCTGTTGCGGGAACAACGTCGAACTGTCTGTGAGTCGCTTGATTCGTCCGTCGGTCTGTCGGTCCATCTGTCCGATCGTCGGTGCGCGCTTCGACGACCGCCGACGTCCTCTATTTACGGTCCGAATTATGATTCCTCCGCTGCCACGTCGGTCGGCGAGATCCTCCTCTGGGCGATGTTCCCCCGCGTGAACTCCGTTCGGGATCTTCGAGACCCGTTCTGAAAAAAGAAAATGCGAAAATTTTCCGTGACCGATACCTCTCCGTCGACGTCCGAATTTCCCATGGAGCCGTTGCTCTATCGACGTCGGTCCGCTTGGCATCTGGCTCGAGTCGTGCCCGACGCTATACGTCATGCACCGCGCTCGCTGCAACGACGAGAGAAACATGACACAAGAGCTCATTTCAGAAGGTGGAATCGAAACTTCGGGTATAGAATCGGAGAATACGCGCTGCGATGGCGCCCAGAGCTCCACGCCGATTCGATCTCTCCACCAAACGCTAATTAAATTCTCCTCCGATTCTCCTTTGACCTGGAACGAGGAGCGACGAAATCTATCGAATTTATTAATACTTCGTTTTCCGTTCCGTCGAGGCTCCGATGGTGAATTTCTCCTTTGAGAATCGTCTCCTCTGGGCTCACGGACGAGACGTACCCAAGGGAAGCCAAAATCCTGCGGCTCAGAAAACTCGAAGAGAGCAAGGGAGAGAATCCACCGCATAATGTCCGACTCCACATTTCCGAGTGTGCCGCTCCTCGACACACGGAAAAGACCGCGCGTTTCAACGTCGACGATTTGATTTAAACTCGAGACTGTTCCCACAATCGGTGGCGCCCTCGGTGGCTCGAGGCTCCGATCAGCGACATATGCTTCCTGCCAAGCCCACAGAGGGCGCCTGAGGTCTATGCGAAGCCGAGCATGAAAATCATGAGCGCGCAGTATTTCTGCATTCTCGAAGGTGTTCCCTTCGAAATGTTTCCGAATCGCGAATCCGTAAAGCGATCGATCGCTTGAAAACTGGAATCAGCTGTTTGCCAAGACGCAATCACCGTGATACCTCGACAATTACGCGACACACGATGGAAAAAACGATCGAACTTCGGAATCGCGGCCCTCGGCCCTGGCTCGAGTCTCTGGCTCGTTCCGGAACTGGGGATCTTCCAATGAGCGAAAGATTATCATTATATTATAATTATAAATTATAACCTTGTGAAACTTTCGTATTTTCAGGGAGAACCCGACAGCGCAGAAAAGAGCTCCTCTAGCGGGAGTCTCCTCAGCGAGGATCTCTCTCAGGCACTACTGAGCGGTGTCTACCAGAATCTGTACCCATCTCTTCTGGGGGGTCTGGGAGCGCTGGGCGTCCCTGTGGGCGCGGCGACCCCCGCGGTCCCGGCGGCTTTACGCCCGCCCACGGCCGCCCTGGCCGCCGCCCTCCCCCATCACCTCCACAGCACGCAGCCACCTGCACAACACCTGTTATCTTTACCTCAGCAGCTGCAAGCGGCAGCAGCAGCTCAGGCTGCCGCCTCGTACTTCCTGAATCAGACTCAAACTGATAATCAGGGCGGGGTGGTGAGCGGTCTTAGTGACGAAGTCCACGAGGCTTCGTCCAAGGCCAACAGCAAGAGCGCAGCTTCAGGGGGGAGGGGAGGGCAAACCAGGGCCATCCTCAGTTCCATGGAAGCCTCTCTATCCACGGATAATAACCAAGTCAATCATCATCAAGATGACGGCGGAAACGACCATGAGCTTAATGTTGATTCGATCAACAGCAACGACCATCATCATCACCAGCAACAGGAGAAACAAAATCATTTTCAGAATCTTCACCATCAACAACAGCAGCAGCAACTCGACCGCCGTCGAAACGTCGTTGAGAGTGATGATGACGACGACGACGAAGAATCCGAGGAGTTGGCGTTGTAAGTGCTCGACCTCTTCCGGGCTTACCGTATTGCTCCGATTTCCATGCATCGTGATGAGTATCTCAACGAAATATATCCATCCTCGAATTTCGCAGGAGAAGTCGCAGCTCCTCGGCACGGAACTCGGACGGGGGAGCAATGAGTAGCTCATCGATTCTACATTCCCAAGGGAAACTCAGTTCGATTATTGACCATTTGCTGGGCCAGACCTCCAAGGGAAACAATAACCATGACCACAACGATATTGGGGAGTCTGGTAAGTACGATTATCGGATATATTCGGATGCATCATCGTCCTGGTCCACGGCGGACTGAGGAAGGGCGTTGGGGAAGAGCATGCACGATCGTGGAAGACGACGGAGTCCACGGAGATCTCATGCAACTTCCCTCCTCAGATAACGGAGTAGCGTCGAAGGACTCAACTCCGAGCGACGATGAAGTCGAAGAAATCATGGAATGCAAAGATCGTCTGAGAAAAAATCAAAATGAAGAAACGAACTTCCAAGGTCAGTGCAGCCGATCGGAGCGAAACTCTCCTCTCCTGATGACGAGACCTCTAGGGATATTCTTGGTCTCCTCCCCGCACGAGGAAATGGGCTCAATCAATGAATTCGGAATTCCCTCAGATTCCTTCAAATTGGCGCCGTCCGGCAATCGTCGTAAGCATCAACGACCTCAGCACGTCTCGGTCTCAAGTGGTCAAATAGCCGACAGTATCAAATCGGAACGTCTAACCCCGGAAGAGCCTGTTCATGTAATCAGCCCCTCGACTTCGCCCTCTCGCAGAAGGCAAATCATGCCGCCAGGATTTCCCGCCGGTTTGAGCTTCATGTTAGGTCTTCGTTCAGGTCCTTCTGGACCTTTGGGTCATCTAAGTCCGACACCGAATCCAGGTTCATCGCCTTCAGCGCCTCCGGGCTCAGGCGCTTTTAGTACGGCTCAGTTGAAGCATGTGGAAGCAATGATGAGCAGCAACCGAAACTATTCGGAGTACATGCGTTCTCTCGCCGCCAAATACAACTCTGCCACCAACGACAGGTGAGTTCAATCGAATAACAACTCCTTCAGGGATTCGGCTACTTGTCATCTGCTCAAACACCCACCAGGGTTCGTAGTCAATATTCGGAGTCTGATCGTTTTTTTTGCCCTCAGCTTCCCGTCGAGTTCGCCATTCTGTCCTCCGACACCACCGATGCGACCTCCCCTCCCTCGTAGTCCGGATTGTCCTCCATCACCTGCTTCGAGGCCTGCCATAGGTTCTCATTCATCAGCTCGCGCAGCAGCCGATAGACATCCTTCTCCTCAACGAAGTCCTCCAAGCTCTTTCACCTTAGCCGATTTTCCCTCCTCGCAAACCCTGCTCAACCTTGTCCGAACCCACGCACAGAGCTCGCAGCTCGAATCTTACCTCAAGGGAGCGGTGAAGCGATCTTCGTCTTCCACCCAAGAAGGTGAGGAGGGACGAAAGCGGAAGATATTCCTATTATTCACTCTGCCAAGAGTCCCAAGGAGCTCAACGTCTCGGAGACGTCGATTTTCAAGGGGAGACATATTTCAGGTGATCCCCTCGATTTGTCGTTATCGGGCCCTCCGATGAAAAGCGCGCGATCACCATCCCTCTCTCCCGCTTCGACGAAAGAACACCACTCGTATCTGGGTGTTCAACAGGATCTCCAACCCGATTCGAGAACGTCTCGCTGCTCATCCGCGGGCTGCCCAAATCGAGAACATCAGAGCAAATTCCTCGCGAGATGGTCAGTAGACGATGTCGTGAACTTCGTGCAGTCGATCGACGTGTGTGCTTCGTACGCAGAGGTGGGTTTATCTTTTTTTTATTGCCGGTCCGAGAGAAAATCAATTACGACGCGACACGGAAGCGATCTGCTGTCTCATTCCCGTCGCCAGTGCGCGTTCCCCGAGTCGTCTTCTCCTCATTCGTGGAGTGTAACCGTGTATTTTTTCCGCTCCGCAGAAATTCCGCGATCAATCAATCGACGGTAGTATACTTTCTGTTCTGACCGAGGATCACTTGACGGCGTACATGGGCATGAGACTAGGCCCTGCCATAAAGCTCCGGCAAGGTCTAGCCAACATGACTGGCCACTGTAGTGTATGCTTGCACTGTTTACATTGCCGTGGCCCTCCCAAATCGCCGATAGCTCCGAACACTCGCGCGTCGTCCGCAAGTCCCTCACCGCACAGCTCTCCTGCGGCATCGCCCAAGGATCCCGATCTGCTAGTAGGACAGCCTACTCCTGCGTCATCGTCATCATCGCCTTCTCCGTCGCACGCGTCAAGTCCGACCGACACCACGGCTTCAAACTGAAACTCTATGATCGGACTGTGTCGCTAACTCAGTCCTCACGGAGACGCTCAGGATTGTGGGTACACGCCTACTTACATACCATATTGTATGTAGAATCGGATCTCGATCCGACGTTGTCCGAACAAAACGGAGTACGAATGAGTCCCGTGCATTTCAACCAGTTTGACGCCGCGCGCGGACGATACGCGTTCGTATTCACTTTTTTCTCAACTGTCGACGATTCTACGCACAAAGGAGTCACAAATCTGGGCCCCTGTGCTCGATTGTTCGTTCATCCTTCTCAGCGTCACTGCTTGATCGTTCTGTTCGTAACCATACCACCACAACAAACATCAATCTAGTCGATTTACATTTTTAGTTAGATGATGATGAACTCCACGGGCACTCCAGCGCTATTCTCTCGTTCGAGTGACGTGGATTGATCGTTGAAGGCTCGGACTGAGCCGCATCATCGATCGCGAGAGGCGATTCCGGGAAGAACGCCTGAGAGCGGTATGCTGTTTGCGCGATAACGCGAATGGGAGCTGCTCCCACAGCAGCCTTTGCAAAACGATCTCGAGGAGCTTCTGTCTGCTCTAGACTTCCGTTGACACTAGGGAACCACCATTTCTGTACATACGATTGAGGGTAACGTGTCGTGGAGAAAACGAAAGAAATGATTTGAATCTTAGAAATTCAGTCTTACGCCCCTGGAAGTGGCTAATCGTCATATTCTATGGCTTCTGAACCCAAAATTAGACTAGTTCTAGCCTAGTCTTAGAGTGTGACAGATCAGTCATTCTGTGTCGATAAGCGGTCGAGTGCGGGGAGCGAGGGGACGCTTGGGAAAATCTTCGGAAACGTCACCGTGGGGACCACTCGGAAACCGGTCCACTCCTGGTTCACCTGACCACAATAGTGAATGATGATTTGCGTAAAATGTTTCTCCTGTCGCAATGCTATGCTCAGGATAGTCTAGGTTCTTAGCATCACGATGTAATCACATATGTATGTCATTATTGTCAACGGGAACTTCACTTGACACGTCTATTATTACTATTATTATAATATTACTATTATCGAAACGGTAATGATGATGATGCTCATTCGTATCGCTTCTATTACTACTTGGTATACGACGGTGGTTATATATCACTGACAGTATCATTCGAAGATGTTAACTTGGACTGACCTCGTCGACTACGAGACTTCCTCATATCCGAATCCGAAAAACGACCACGTCTTGTGACGGTTTGAGAACAGCGAATGTCGACCCTTTCAAACTACGCATTATTCAATCTCCAAAATCATGAAGAACAAAACCAAATAAATACGATTCTCCGAGTCATTGCGAGATTTTCTCTGATATTTCGATATCCATCTTCTGGACGATTGAAGGATCCAAACCGCGACGGGTGGATCACGGTAATACCACCACAGTCATACCTACAATGTAGACGAGGCGGAAACTCTACACCGGGGAGCTCTCTGCAGTCGGATGTAGAAAATCCTAGTCCAGGCCACTTCGAGCCGCAGCGAACAACTGCGTACCACACGATTCACATCATGAACGGATGGACCCAAGGGAACCATACCTACGTATTTCTTCCCCAGTCAACTAATTGATCGCGGGGGTAGTTATAAATATTTCATGAGCTACTTGGCTCCCTGTAGCTGGGCAAAGATGACCTCGGACTCTGAGTTGGGCTAGAAAAATTCGGTTTTCTGAGTGACTCGCAATTTTCTAATTGAGGGACGATCTTCTACGTTCGAGAAGTATGGATCGACCCTATCTTGAGGACTGCATAATATGTGTCCTTCCTCGTCTTCGATTGAAAATACCTAATCCTAATCGCCATAACATGAAGGGTCCAGTCGCTGCAGCGAAGCGCCCTCTATGACTCATCGAGGAAGCCGCGAGCGGCAGTTCCCGCACTGGCTCAGAGAGGGAGCCACGGGCATCTTTGGAGGAGTATTCGGCCACGCGACTTCGTTGGCACATTCGATGAGAGTCGTCGCTCGTCCAAGGCTCGGACTCTCCATGAGCGATCACCAGCGGACTCTAGTCGCTTCTCACCGAGGGCCGTACAGTTCGCCGGGAAATGTTCTCGTCCTATACCCATATTGTTCGAGCTGACTGAGAGTTTCTTCCATAATCACAGACAGCGTAGAGGATGGATTTCAGCAGCCTTTCAGTGAGCAACTCGTCTTGCGGTGTCCAAGCAAGTTGTCGCGCGGTTTAACACGCGATCAAGAAGAAAATTGCCCCAGCTTGACTCTGCTGGTCTGGGATAGAAACCGCGGGAGAATATTCAAGGTGTCTCACTCGTTCCGCTCCCACTTTCATTTCACAAAGAGATCGCGTCAAATGTCCAGCTCTTTCCCGACGTCAACGGGTCGTCTCGTCGTCGGCATTCACACATCATTTCATTCCTGCAATAAGCCGCCGATATACCTGATTCTCTTCTATTCTCGTCTCACTTAGACTCCCCCTTGGCTGGGAGAGAATCTCTTCCCCATTGCCAGAGATAAGAGTTGCACGGAAACACCAGAAGCCAAATCGGGGTCCGCCTTCGCGGTATTGGAACGAGCTTGATCTACGAGAGAGCTTCGACCTTATCTCCAGAAGAATGGATTCGAGCGATACCGACCCAGGGAGCTGCCGTCCTACAACCAACTACGAAAACAGCTAAACTTCAGCTACGAGTAGAAAGCCGTTGGACATCTCCAGATCCGGAATCCTCATTCCCCGCATTCTTCGGTCGGCGTAGCTCGCTTTCCTTCGACGATGTCAGGAGCATCACGTCCAATCCTCACAAACGGAACTCTTTTCTCAGCTTCTTAGCTCGTTGAACGCTTGAAGAACGATTATATTTATCCGATTTCTCCCCGGCAATACGTTCACGGATTTTGTTCCATTGAATATTTCAAACCTGGAAGAGTCGAAGTCCTCTCCTTCCTCGACAAAATTAAGACTTCGGAGATGAGCGATGCGGAACTATGCAAAGTCGACCGAATCTCCATCTCTGTGAGTGGTGTCACAGAAGATAGCGCCACGCTCGGTCTCGTTGACCGAAAAATCGCGAAAAAGAACTTCATCCGATGAGGAACGAGCTCGGGAACCGTGGTGGAGCTGATGATCCTGATTGAGAAGTCACCAAAATGGAGATCCGAAGCACATCAGCATTTAAGGGGGACGTTTTCATGTAATCGTTTTGTATCTTGTCTCCGTGGTCATTCGTCTTCTTTCCGCTTCGAACGCTCTGATGCTAAGCCCATGGGATCACCCATCCCGTCGACGGTGACATCGGACGTTTACTCAAGATGAAATACGGCACCAGTTCGGCTGACTGGGCTTTCCGCACTAGTTGTTGATCGACTTCGAAATCATCGCTTGAAGATTTGTAACTACTGCTGCCGATGCGCAATGCATCGTCGTCTAGCCGAGACCACCGGTGCAGAAAGTATCATCTTCCTTTCATATTCCTTCCATCTCCCCATTTGTGCTATCAGCACTTGCGTCTCGGCGGCGAATATTGAAGTACAGAAATGTGCTCGTGTGTGTTTGTGGACCACCTTGATTCGCCTCGTAAACGAGAGGGTAGTAAAAAAATATTTCGAGAAATACACTTCTCAAAAAAGTACATACACACATATTGAAAACGAAAAGGGAATAAATATCAAGTATCTCAGAGACATCGTAAAACCCCACGGGAAGGATGAAACTGGAAACGGCCTGGCCAGGCTCTCCGGGCCGACCCGGCGACGTCCTGTTCGCAGGGAGTCGCATTTCGTAATGATATTCAGAGCTCATAATTGAAAGTTTCGTCGGAATTCATGGAAGCTCTAGCAGTGGGGCGCATGCCGCTCTTTCGTCATAATATTTCCGCCGTCTGACCCACCGTGAGTCGAGGGAATCGCAGCGAGCTCCTCGGACGTGTTCTGATTTTCTCGTGTCTGTTTCCCGTTTCGTGTCGGTTGTGTTTCAGAGCCCATTGTTGGGATGTGGTTCACGAAAAATAATTACTCAACGGAATCTTGCTATCCATTGTCGATGAATGGTCACTGCTCACGCACTCCGGGGGAATTATACGCGCAGATCACTAATAGAGCCGAACGACCGCATCTCTTTCGGCTCCCCGGTCGGGATCGGTGGATCTCCCTTGTGGCGACCAATCTCGCAGTTGCACTCGTTTCTGTCGGTGGTATTAATGCTGCGGCAGCCACCTGCTGCGATTCTTGGATGTTCGGTTGCATAGGAAGGGGGATGTCGATACCGAAATGAAAACCACGTACGCGGAGCTAGATTACGAGACTCAGAAGAGCGAAACAGGAGACATGCAACGTAAAGTCCATCCAGCGGTGTCTCTTATGATTCAATTTCGTGGCTGTTGTTTTCCTTGCCGAAGGTCCGCGTCTCCGCATGAGCCTGTCTTGCGGTCTGACTCACTCGTCCGTTCCTCAGAGATGCCACGGCGGACAAAATATTCAGAAAAACTCGACGAACCCATCTTGGAAGCGCGTCGCCTCACCGGCTGCAATGCAAAGTTTTTGCTCAGATTCCGTAGATTTCATCTCTCTCCGATCTATCGTCCCCCGTCCCTCGATCGGAATCGATTTAGGTAGCGTCCTTTCGCTCCTTCCAAGTACCTACATCAAATCACTGATATCTCCGGCGAGGCGGAATCGCCGCGTCATTCGGCAGAACATCTTATCCTTAGGTATTACCCTGAATCGTTTCCAACTGATGACGGATGACGGACTCGTCCGTTTCGTACACACGAGGAGAAAAATCGGAGAATAGCGAAGGGAATCGTCGGTGTTATCTATCTACAGAGTCCGCATGGAACACTTCTATTAGTATACGCACAGAAGCTCTGTCTCTCGCGTCATTCCTCAAGCGCGGTGGATTATAAATCAGCGGGGATTCGAGAGGAGACTACCCTTCTAACTAGCAAGCCGAATAGAGCCGAAAGAGAGGCGAAATGAGTCAGCGCTTGCTCCTCGATTCCGCAAATCCA